TTGATCGGTCGTTATATTATTATTACACAAACGTTCGTGCGAATGTGTAGGCATTGTATCGTAGTGTTATTGTTGCAGTTCATCGAAACGAACGCTATAGGGTGTTAAAGTAATAATAAATAAATAAAATAAAAAAAAAAAATCGAAATAATCATTTGCGTAGCCGATAATCATCATAAGGTATATTATTAAACCACAGAAAAGTCAATATACATATATACCTTAAGTATAAATATGAATAATCCGTATAGTTTTCCACCTCATATTATATGCATTCCACGTGAAAAATTCAACACGGTTATGTTTTCAATTCGTTTCTCCCTTTTTCATTTTTTTGTTTCGATTTCGGTCCAAGTTCTTCTCAGAGTAAAGTTTACTGTATATGTATACACATATACTCTTTCTGTATTTCATTCCTCTTTTTAGATTTCCTGAAAACGAAAAACTCCAACATGTGAAGTACCAACCAAACATTCCCGATGTTTATGTCATGCTTCATGTTGTATGTTATTTTAATCGTTTATGTACTGTACTGTATAAAGCAAGATATTAGTATTGTTTTATCAGTTTATGTTAATAAATATCGATAAGTATTGATATTTTATATTCGTTAATACGGTCGATTATTATTATTAATATATCGACATTCTATCATACTTTTCGATGTTTTGACTATCGGCATTCTGACCTGTCGATATTTTAACTGTCGACGTTTCATACCACACTCAATATAAATAATATGATACAATGGTTTAGCAGTTACTTTTTCAAAATTTGTACTAGTGGAGTATAGATTGAAGTTTGAATAATCTACTTAGTAAGCTTATAAATAGTAGGGAGTGTGACAATTATATTTTAAGTAAATATAATTAAAATTAAATAAAGTATAAGTACTACTTATTCTTATAATTTTATAATCTTGTTATCATATTTCCTCATTTTGGATATTTCAACAATTGTTGATTGTGATGATGGTGTTTCGGACGTGCACTGATAATATAAATCGTAAACTACTATTTTTCCCTAAGTAAAATAAAACAACAAAATAGTCTATAAGTTTATATACAGGATGAAAAGAAAAGTATGGATATATATGTGATTTTCCTGATCTGTATATTAACTAAGAAAATATGTTTTTTTAATTTTTTTTTAACAATAATATTGGTGAAAAATAATTAAAAAAAAAAATAATTTTATTTTAAGATGATACAATTAACACTGAATTGTTTGGAGAATTATCATTAAATTTGATACACGAATTTTTATATTTTCACCGTTTTGGAACCACCATACTATCTCTATAATTTTTAGTGGTGCACTAAATATGAAAAAAATAGTGACACAACTTTTTAATATAGAATTTGGCAAGAAATATTATCTTAGTAGGTATTAAAACATGGATTTGAAGTAAAACATTTTTTTTCTCATCTTTAGTATATTAGTATTAAGTGTACCACCAAACACAATAATTAAAAGTATGTCATATATCAAATTTTATGAAAATTCAGCAAACAATTTATTGGTGACTTTAATTTTTGATTTGATGAAAACTATTATTTATTTTTAGAAATCATTTAACACCAACAGTATTGTTAAAAGACAAAAAACAGTTTCTAATTTTTTTTATTTTTTAATTTTTTAATTTTTAATTTTCTTACAGATATTATGAAAATCACATAGATTACCATGTTTTTTTTTCCCACACTTTATATAGGTACTAGGCAATATATATATATACTAGATGAGTGATTTTGTTTAATGGAGAAACGGTCCGTAAATTACAATAATATGGTAATATACTCTCGTTATGCCGAATCTGAAGGAGACATTCTGAGATATCGAGTTTTATTAAAAATTTTTAAAAATAATAATGTATGAATAATAAATAATATAAATGCTTAAAATACACAATTTTAATTCTATATGTATTCACGATTGGAGGTCTAATCTTGCAGGAAATTATAGTTTAAAATTTCGAGAAACGCACGTACATGTGCATGAATTCTCGCTTAAAAATTGCATACATACCAACGTGCGGGATAGTCGAATTGCACTTGGATTGAAAAAAGGTAATGGTCGAACTGCACTCGTTCAAAAAAAGAGTTAAAACGGAAAACTCTTTAAAAATATTACAAATCTTTCTGTTGAAGAACTCTACGGCGCACTTATTTAATAGCATATATTAGTTCATGCCATTTAGATAACGCAAATAATATTATACAATAACTATAATATATACTCTGAAGCGTATTACCAGGGTAGATTTTTTGAATACCTACAATAAGTCATTACTACAAAAATGATCGTAATGACAAAAAAAAGTTATAATAATGACAATAATTAAATTTGACGATTAAAAAAAAAATTATACTTAATAATAATAATATGTGTAATATAATATAATATAATGTATAATTAACATTTAATAATATGATGTATAAAACAATAATTTTTAACCACGCTAATAATTACTAAATGGTAATAAATGTAACTAAATAAAATAAGTCTAACCTCTTCAAATGCATGATAATTTTATTGAAATACTTTTTTGAACCCAAGTGCAATTTGACTAAAATAAGTGCAATTCGACCATACCCCCAACGTGCAATTTATCTGCAACGTGTCTTATACATATGCATTCCATATATTAAATTCGTTTTAGGAAACGCAACTGTGTGCATTATTGAATTCTCTACGCGCGCACAATACCGCTACTGCACATTATGTATTTCTGAGCTATTAAAAATAAATAAAGAAAACATACACATTTTCAGTGCCGAATCCAGGTAGAGGCAAAAGTGAGTATACTTACTCCGACTGCTGTTGGTATGAGAACGCTCTTAAGTTTATGTAAATTAAAAAAGTCACGAAAATATATATATAAATATATTATAACACAGTTAAAAAATAATAATAATAATAGGTATTACACAGTTATTTGCTATTTAACACGTCGAACGTCGATGTCAACAAGTAGTTGACATACAATAATCATAGGCACAACTTGAGCTTATATTTTTTGGGGAGGGGAACTGTAAGTACCAAGATAACATAGACCCACCGAAGCTATGCTTCCATACCCCCATATTATCGAAAATATATTAACAGGACTACAACGAAGATTTAATGGATCATAGATCAATGGAAAACGTTGCTCAAGATTTATATGAATAAATATAAAAATTATCTCGACAAATTTGAAGATATTTCAGATTTATATAGCTTTTAAGAGCATATTTACAACTTATATAATAATTTAAAAAAAAAACCAAACGTTTTGGAAATGTTAAATTTTATTTAAATATAAAAATAAACTTTAGGTGCACAGTATGTATTATACATTATATAGATATATATCAGTTGATCACCAAATATATCTTACATTTACATCTGCTTCACACGAATGAAGTTTTAACAAACTAAAATTCATAAAAATGTACCTACGATGTGCTACAGAGCAAACTTAATCACATGTCTATTATATACAGATGACATCCATATAATCATATCAATGATTTCGCTGTATAAAAGACTAGAAAATTAATTTTTAAACTTAAAATTTTTAAGAAACACAATTGTATTTAAAAATATAAATTTTATCTATATTTAAACATTTTGTTTTGTGTTGGCGCCCGGCATAACCCGTATTTCCACCTACGTAAGGGCGTTGCTTTTTTTATTCGCCCGGGACGTCAAACTTCCTAGATCAGGCATTAGGTATGGTATAAGCGAGTGGTTGCGAAACGGACACCAATGTTACTCGTATGATGTGTTACGCGATGGTGACGGCAGTAGTACACAATCGCGTAATTTATTTTTCGGCTGTGGCATCTGTGACTAGACGACGGGTGATGGGGTCATGGTACATCGGTATCAGTGAGGACGACGCGACAGTAGTGTATCATCGCAGCGACGTGAATGAACATTCGACGTCTATCAAAACGAAATTACCTAACCCCTCTCCGTGCATGTTACCGAACAACTCGCGGTGAGTCTAATTGCACGTATATCGCGGTTACCGGTTCCGTGACTAAAGGTTGACGAAATCACAGCAAAATAATATGCTAAGGGCGCGTTTAAGTTGAATTAAAATTGGTTTTTTTTCATCTCTAAAATAAGCGCCAAATTAAAATTCACCGAGGACGCCACAAAGGGTAGTTACGGCACTGCTAGTATAATGTACAGCCGTTAGATGTCACGATCAAGTGGTAAAACGATGTATTTGCAATGAAACGCCACATGGTTTCAATACGCAGTATTCGTAATACGCGTTTCGCAGGTTAGGTTAGGTTAAAACATACGTGATTATCATTCTACGAATATTATCTAGTAATCGGAAACAATATCGATAACTTGATACGATATCGAAATTGTGACAAATTTTTTACATCGATATTTTTCTAAATTGTATGACATATCGTGGTATTGAAATCAATATTTTATTTGTAGGTCTTAGATAATATATAGATATGATTAATTGTATATACTGAATATACAAAATGTTATTGTGATGTAGATGTAGATGTGATGTAGATCCACTTACATAAATGGGGGAAAAAATTCAAGTTTATACCCAGAAGTTTGAGATTTCTTCTTCTCCTTCAACTTTCTCCCAACTATTTGGGATTTTTGAAATTGCTTTTTGCACGTTTACAAGTATTGGTGTATATTTTTCTATTTATATGTCTTTAGATTAGATAGAAAGTTTTTATGTTCTTTTAGACGTATTATTATAAAAAAACACGTATATTTTATCTATAGATCACTTGTCCCCACCTCATGGGTACATGTTCGAAACGAAATCCGTGCCCATAACTAACTAACCTGTACATATGTGTACACTGCAGCTGATAAATATTTTAAAAATTTGGAAATATTTTTGAAACTTTAATCACGCAATATTGTTTTGTTCTTGAATATTTTATTAACACATACCTACGTAATTGTATATCTGTGCAATGTTAGTTTTTTTTTTAAATTGTTGTCTGTGCTGATTTCAGAGATGATCCAAACGTCGGTGGTGGCGTGGGTGGTAGCGGAGGTGCGTTCACCCGCTGGCTCCGTGAGTTTAGACGCGAGACTTACAAGGTAAACACGACCAACGGTGGCGTTGGTGGTAACTGCGGTAACGGCGGTACTTACCACACGACGGCCGAGGACGGCAGGCGCAGACATTCGTTCAACGCTCATGACAAAAACGCTCATCAGGCCGCTCCAAGACTTGGCGGCTCGCATAACGCACCCGCGTCCAGGACGCCTTGCCGGCGGGCAAACAGCACTGTGGCACCAAAGTCCAGGTACGTCTCGATAATCATATAGCGATATTGTATGTATGCGTATATTAGAAATAGTGTAGATGTTTACCAAGTGTTATAGTTACAATATTACCATGTGACATTATCTTTGCCGTTGTTGACCGCTAACACGTACGGTGATTTCGACCCGGCATAATATGCTTTAGTACTATACAGTTCATAAAGAAAGTTGGATTCGTAAGTCCGAAGTCGCGTTTAGTTGATTTCGAAACTTATTTATGGTCTTTGTGTTCACTGTCTTGCACCAGTAGGGAGAAACTCTAGAAAGAATATTAACCTTCCTACTCTTCAATACTTCCCCTAATTCTCTACTTCTGCCCGTCAATGTTCCAACATTCTATGTGCCTATTTTTACTTTATACCTATTTCTCATACCTAGACGGAGATTTAACCCGGGGCACAATGGTGATATCCCTTCACAGTTAACATTACCCTTGTTGAGTAGACCTGAATACATTACTGGTGAACCAGCTACCATACTGGCTGTCCAGCTGGTATCACACACTTCATCATCTAGACCTCCACCATTAACTATGATACTTTTTCTCACTTGTCGTTCCCGTGCATATCTGAGATGGAACAAACTGCCTAAGTCTTGTTTCGGACTCCTCATACTCTTTGACAAAGTGTTTACATCGGCTGTCATCCTGACGCAACCTCATTTAGTCACCTCTTACGATTGGCTGAGGAAGATTATTCTGATCTCCTACCACAGGGGAAGATAAATTAATACCTAGTAATATAAATATATATGGGTTGACATCCAACAATTGTGTTTTCCAATATTAACGTTTGAACGAATATTTTATCGTAAACTTAGAAAACGTCTGGTACGTTATACAACATAATATTGTATTACGTATGCTGGTGAGTAATTATAAATATGATTTTAAATTTGCAGAAAATTCTATTAATTAATTTATATTTTTCCAAATTTCTCATGGGACCCTTAGAAGTACTGGTCTAAACTGTACGCAAGACGTAATGAGCGAAAAACGGTAACGTACGCCCTCTTAAGGAAGTGTGATGACCTACAAAAAAAGAAAGAATAAAAAAAAAAATGGTAGTTATAAAATAATGAAATAATGAAAATAAAAATTGCACGTTCGTGCGCGAGATATATGATCGTGACCGGATTATCCGATGCGCGTAACCCTACACACACGTGCACTCATCGATAAATATATATATGTTGATAATATGACGCGTATAACTACCACGTATTGTACCTAGGTATATGCGAAAACAATAAACTAGGTTGGAAGCGTTACCCATGGCCTTGAGCTAATGTGAAATGTATAAGGGCTGTTGCAGAAGTATTGAGTGATCGACGTGGACGATTATAATTAGTATATACCTAAATATATATAAAGTTGACCAGAATAATCGATTTTCCGCGTGTCACGTGAGTACACTGGCGTGCGATTTATGAAAGGCGCGGTCTACAATGTATTATAATTTATAATAGCTATTTGCGGAGGAAAAAATAAATAAGTAAACATATATTTTATGTGTACATAAACGCGTATACAAATAATTTCAGTCGTTGTTACTGCTACGTTCTCCGCCGCAGTGGAGACGTTTTCTGCGTTACCATTCGAACCGAACGTCATTATGTGTTATTATCTTGGTAGGCTGCGCTTCAGGTCCGTTTTTATGTGAAATGTACTTATATTCCAGCGCGACAGAGTCCGCAATTTACCGTAGTAAAGGGTCGCTGCACATAATTTGATGAATTAAACAATTAAACCGATTGATTCACTTTGCCCTTAACCGCATTCGCGGTACATTATATTATATTATTTGGCACCCGCACGTACCATAACGATTATCACCTCAATACGTCCTAGTTGTCATCATTGGCCGTTACGATTTTAGGCATTATCAACTGCCGTACACCTACGTGCACATATATAAACCTATTTGCCAACACGTATAACATAAATATTCTCCTATTCCTCCTTCTTTTCCACCTCCTACTGATCACACAACCGCGTTCAATTATATATACTGTCATTATATTTATTTTCGAACAGCTTCGATATCAACAGATAAATATGTACAGGCGATCGTTATAATAATAAATTGTTTTTCGACGAGCGCACACGTTTACCGCTCGAAAGTGGCCTTGATTGTCTCGCCGTGTATTTACTTTTATTATATTCAAACACTTTTCTTTTTGAATTTTAAATTGAAATTTTTAAACGAAGTAGCTGGTTCATGACATATTATATAAATGTAATACGATAATATGTATGTTCGTTGTTGACACTCGTACATAGCGTACTTAAGATTTCTATACAATATTCGAATGTCTACAAGCTTTATAATCGTGTATCTTAGAGTACGACACGCGATTTATCGACCGAAACAAAACGTTACCGTAGCAGAGGTCTTAAACATTAAAATCCCGACGACCGAAGGTCGGGGTCATTTACCATGTATCCGGTTTTATAGGGCTTGCGAGGAAAATCATATGCGTTCATGCGGTTAGTTGTCATGATGGCTGAACGAATAAATGTATATAAATGTCACAAACAGATCTCTCAGAAACACACCCTCGGAACCATTTATAAAAATAAAAATAAATTAAAAAGTTAAAAATTAATCCCGCTTGACAGTTTTCGAACAAACTAAAACTGTTTATTGGGCGTGTTGTTCGTATTATAATTGTTGTACAGGTTTGAATGGAAATATTTTTAAGAAACATTAAGGAAATTATAATAATTAAACATGACAATAAACCAAATGGTTTTTAATGATGGAACGTAATCGTTAATTTTACAGCTCCTTATATATGTGCTATGTATATGCAGCTACGACGAAAAACGATTAATTATCCAGAAAATTTACACATAAGCTAGAAATTGATTTTTTCTTGAATCCCTGTATAACATGTTATAATATAAATACTTTTATCATCATATACAGGTATAAGCCGTAAGTTAATTTGTTATTCGAAAATATTATATATCCAAACTTAATCTTAGTATATCTTATGTTACTTGGGTGTGAAAATTAGTATTAAATCCAATGAAACGTATGAAACATAAATCCATAATTACAGTGTAGGGTTGATATATAATACTATATCTTACCAAAAAAGTTAATGGTCGAAACGAATTCGGTTCAAGAAAAATGTTCGAAAAAAATAATCTAATTTTTAATGAATCATAATTTTTTTTATAAGACATAAGATTGCATAGAAAATATAGTATGTACTATTTTATAGAATATAATTAAATAATAATAACTTAATTTTCGTACGTTTTTGTTGTAATCACAATTTTATCGAAAATACTAATTCTTTTTTCATATTTTGATTATTATTATAATCATTACAGATTTTAATATCATTAGATTTGTTATAAACGTAAAAATTATTGTAAATACTGACTTTAGTGCAGTTTGACGATTTTTGTCTGGGTAAGAAGTGCAATCAAACTATTCAGATTACATAGTATATATTATTATTATAAAGGTAGAAAAATACTATCGATAAAAGGGTGGTGAGAAAGAGATTTTTCATCATTATAGTATGAACTTTAATTAAGAATCATGTGTTTTATGATTAAAATTCGAACGCACATATTGTCCGGGTGTTTTAGAATCGACTAAATATACTTACCTATTGTTTCCCCGACCACGTCGAATGCGATAGCAGTCGATCATATAACGCGGATGTTGATCGTGTTATACATTTATAATATTACGTTCAAGTCTGTTTATAGGAGACACAAAAGAACAATAATAATAAAATGTTCCGACGCGGCTAATTTTACTTGATTTTCGCTTAAACCGTGAATGGCGCATATTATTGTAATAATTCGTCAGGCGATATCTAATGCTGTGGGTGTAGTTGGTCGTCCGTTTGGTTCGGTCCAAACCACATTTGCCTTCTTATATTCTTAAGTATACCACCTTCTATATATCGTCCCTCTCAAGTATTTCCAAAATCGCTGAATAATATTTATTACTAAATTGTATACAAGCGTGGCATAAGTGGTAATGGGCAAAACTTATTTGCGTACGAGTGCAGCTGTGTTTTGGCGAAAACGTGTGTCGTTTAATTATTATTTATACATACGTTTGACATAAAACATCCATTTTCCACATGACTTAACTTGAATACGATTTTGACACATATTTTATACATATATTAATATAAATATATTTCCGTCAGCGTGTTGTAGTATTATTATATATACATTATATATTTTGATGTGTCCTTCGTCGCACGAAATAAAGTTGTAAAACAGCAAAATATTGGTATTTTGTTGTAAAAAAGTAGAAGTGTAAAACCTAATTGTTTTTTCAGTGCTATTATTATCACTGATACAGGTAAACCTATGGTTTGTTGTGTTGTTATATTACATTATTCTAAGAAACCGGATGTTATGTTTGAAAATTAAAAAAATTAAATAAAACAACAACCAACTTTTCATTTAATGAAAACGTGAATGGACGAGTCGATTATATACTACGATTTAATGTATATATTGTAATATACGTTTTAAGTATTATGCAGGTTTTACTTAATTTTTTTTAACTTGTATACCATTGTATGGTCTTAGATAACTTCTAAGTTGTTCCATGACCAGACGTAATCGATTTACGTACATCAACAATCAATTCACGCGTGACACACGCGCAGTAGCCAAAGCAAACGATATACGTTGTACATATTATTTATAAGTGTAGTACACGTATATGCATTCTATAGGTCTGTGCGAGTTTTATGAGCTTTATTCGTTCATATATATATATATATATATTTATATTTATATTATAATGTTGTATTATACGACGATGTCGTGTACTACTCATTTAAAAAGTGGTTTTTGTATGCATGCGCAAGCACGGCGACGAGAGCAATGCGTGCGTCTGAACTAGATTTAGAAACTTTTTTATTTTATTTTTAATCGATTTGACGAGAATCAAACTATTCATGGGAAATGTAGAATAAAGCGCGGGCGAACGAA